TATAGACTTTCTAGTAGGCTTTTGCTCCTGGTTGATGTATAAGATGAATGATTTAGTAGTTTGATTCCTTTGCCTAGTTGTTTCACAAATTCTTTTTGGCCTATTTCATGGTATTTTTATGTTTATCGAGTTCATGTTCCTTTCTGTTACCTTATTTTGGATGTAGTACAGCTTTTTGTTATAGAAGCATAGAATCATTAAGCTTGGAAAAGACCTTTAAGATCATCAAGTCCAACTGTCAACCAAACCCCACCGTGGCCACTAAACCATGTCGTGAAGTGACACATCTACACGTTTTTTGAACACCTCCAATGATGGTGACTCCACCACCTCTCTGGACAGCCTGTTCCAATGCTTGACCACTCTTTCTGTAAAGAAATTTTTCCTAATATCCAGTCTAAACCTCCCCTGGCACAACCTGAGGCCATTTCCTCTCATTCTATGGCTAGCTGCTTGAGAGAAGAAACCAACACCCACATCACAACCCCCTTTCAGGTAGTTCTGGAGAGCGATGAGGTCTCCCCTCACGCTCCTCTTCTCCAGACTGAACAACCCCAGTTCCCCCAGCTGCTCCTCATAAGACTTGTGCTCCAGACCCCTCACCAGCTTCGTTGCCCTTCTCTGGACACACTCAAAGGGCTCAATGCCCTTCTTGTAGTGAGGGGCCCAAAACTGAACACAATATTTGAGGTGTGGCCTCACCAGTGCCGAGTACAGGGGCACAATCACTTCCCTACTCCTGCTGGCCACACTATTGCTGATACAAGCCAGGATGCTCTTGGCCTTCTTGGCCACCTGGGCCCACTGCTGGCTTATGTTCAGCCAACTGTCAACCAGCACCCCCAGGTTCTTTTCCACCGGGCAGCTTTCCAGCCACTCCTCCCCAAGCCTGTAGCGTTGCATGGGGTTGTTGTGACCCAAGTGCAGGACCCAGCACTTGGCCTTATTAAACCTCATACAGTTGGCCTCTGCCCATCGATCCAGCCTGTCCAGATCCCTCTGCAGAGCCCTCCTCCCCTCCAGCAGATCAACACTCCCACCCAATTTGGTGTCATCTGCAAGCTTACTGAGGGAGCACTCGATCCCCTCATCCTGATCATCAATAAAGATATTAAACAGGACTGGCCCCAAAACTGAGACCTCGGGAACACCAGTTGTGACCAGCTGTGAACTGGATTTAACTCCATTCACCACAACTCTCTGGGCTTGGCCGTCCAGCCAGTTCTTTACCCAGCAAAGAGTACACCTGTCTGAGCTCTGTGCCGCCAGTTTCTCCAGGAGAATGCTGTGGGAGATGCTGTCAAAGGCTTTACTAAAGTCCAGGCAGACAACATCCACAGCCTTCCCTCATCCCCTAGGTGTGCCACCTGGTCATAGAAGGAGATCAGGTTGGTTAAGCAGAACCTGCCTTTCATGAACCCGTGATGGCTTGTTTCAGACTGTCTCTTTGCTTCAAGTCTGGTATGCTTCAGCTTTCTTCTTGCTACATATAAGTACTTAATTCTTTCAGCTCACTCTCCTAATTTGATTTTAACAAGCCTCACATTGTTCCCTTACTGGAGTTTAGCACAACTATAGAGGGTTCTTTGGTCTTTGTTGCTCTTTGTAGAAATAATTGTTTTCATAAAGTGGGGATTCCAGTGTGAGATTCTAAATCAGATCTTGCACATTGTTCTCTATCAAGCCAAGGACTACGCTTCATCTCGAGGGCTCATTCTGTGAAAAATAATTTCATCTAGATAATACCATCTAAGAATATAATCTCTGCTTCATTTAGCAACATGTCAATATTTTCAGTGGTAGTGTCCTGGTTGGTGGACTGACATGGAGACCCAATCCCATGTTCTTCCCAACTGGGCTTTGAATTTCAACCCATGTAAATTATGTGCTTCTCTCTGAGGTGGCAGGGGATTCAAAAGTGTTTTAGTTACTCTGCATCTTTTACGTAGTTATCTACAGGTGGATTTAGTTACCTAATGCTAAATATCAAGATCAAACATTTTGGGCAAAAATAAAAGTTAAATATGTTAATATGTTAAATTAACACAGACACAGAAAGGTAATGTAAAATATTTAAACCCAACTGTGAGAATCCCCAAGGTTTTTTTACTACACATTCATCTGCTTAGTAATCCCTTCTTTTGTTATAATGAGCATTAGAGGAGGACACTTGCTGAGAAGTAATGTTACAATGGAAGATTAATTAGGGAACATGAGAACCATTTGCAGTTAGTTCTAAGAAATTGTTTGGAAACACATCTTCTTTCTCTTTCTCTCACTGTCCAGTGGGTGTAAGATTTTACATAAGCAGTGTCAGTTCACTCAAGGGAAAGACTGTCCTTCTTAGGGAAAGAAGGGTATTCAAACTGTCAGGGTACAATAATCACAGAATCACAGAATCACAGAGTCACTAAGGTTGGAAAAGACCTCAAGATCATTAAGTCCAACTGTTAACCCAGCACCACCATGTCCCCTAAACCATGTCCTGAAGTGCCACATCCACATATTTTTTGAACACTTCCAGAGATGGCGACTCCACCACCTCCCTGGGCAGCCTGTTCCAATGCCTGACCACTCTCTCGGTGAAGAAATTTTTCCTAATATCCAATCTAAACCTCCCCTGGTGCAATAATGCTGCAGACAGGAGCACACACTTCCACTTCATGCAGTTTCAGTCATCTAACTTAGCTGCTTCCTCTCTGGGTGTTGGGACATAGAGTAGGAGCCTAACTGAGGTGCTCTGAGTCACTCCTCAGAAGACCCCTCTCTCTCTTATTTGATTATATAGGAGTTCTGTGAGGACTTACTCAAAGCTGGGTGCCAAAAGTTGCACAGTCAACATTTCAACACCAGCCTTCATGGTGAAATGCAGCCTTACATCAGATAGATAGATAGTACACTGCTTTGCTACATCACTTATATCCAGAGCTGACCTGATATTGAAGATGCATGTCGGAGGTGAAAACTCAAGTGCTGAAGCTACAGCTGCAACAGTTATTTTAGCAACACTTGGAAAGCTGTTCTGAAGAAGATCCTGTGAAATACCTTCTTAACAAGGGAACATGAGGTGTAGTTATTCTGAGGAGTGATTGTTACAGAGTTACAAAAAAGGGAAATCTTCAAGACTTTTTTCTTCTTTAAACTTCAGTTTCTGATGCAAGGAGGAAGTCTCCTTGTTCTATACTTAGTTTATTTCCCAGAGAAGCAACTAAGCGCTATGAAACTCGTTCTCATGCCTTTAAAAAATAATAATAATGTTCTGCAATTCTTTAAAAGTATGACAACGCTCAAAAAGTCAAATCAAGTGTTTCAAAGTGTTGACAGTCAAGGTGCAATATTTAGACACTGGAAATCTGGAGTCATAGGCATCTCAGGTCTTATTTCACTGTTTGCTTTCAGTGAAGAAAGAACTGATCCTTTATTTAATGACCATTTGAAAAGTATTTTAGCTTTATCTGCAGAAAATAATTTGAGGAGGGGAAGTTTTCTTGTGTTGAAAAATAATTGACTGAAGATGCCAAGTCACTTTTTCTGTATTCTACAAGCTACTGCTATCTACCAGATTCAATGAATCAAGGAAAGTGCAGTCTTTTCCTTTAAAACCAGATAATACCATGGAAGAGTAAGATTAAGGGTGGTACAGAAAATATCAATACTATTTAGAAAAACAAAAGTAAAAGGGATTGGATTACGTCATGCCTGAAACTACCTCTTAGACATAGTATTAACAAGTTAAACATTTACACTAGATGGAAATGCAAACAAAATAAACAGGATTATTTCAAGTGATGAAATGAGTTAAATAATCTTTCAGTCTATCATCTGTCATATTAGCTGTAGAGGCACACACACTTAAAATATATCTACATTCTACTATGAAGATTTTAATCTAGTGTTGTTACAAGAAGCAATTATGCATACTAAGCAGAAATACAGGGAATACCACAACAAAAAACCACTCTAATAAGTTCATTCTGTTTAACTGGTGATAGTTTAGAGAAGCAGATCTTTTCACTCTTATAATCTTCTAACTGTGGATTCTATAAACACCTTAGTGAAATTAAAAGTATTAGAAAGAAAAAAAGTGGGTAATTTTTAATATTAGGCTCCTAATATCTTCTCTGAGCACTCTCCACAGTGTTGTACTAATGGCAATCAAGCACTGGTACCCTGAAAAATGTTGGGCTAAAGAGAACTCTGTAAAGAAACACTGCAGGAAAAGATTTATATAGAATTTTAATGGTTGTTTTGTAAACGGGTGCCTTCACTTGCTGCGATGATGGCGGTGAGTCACAGGGAAGAGAATGAGGGGAGCTGCATTGCCGTGGACATGTCCCGGGAGCACAGGGAGCACCCGCAGCTCTGCGTCCCTCCTCGAGGGTTTGTCGCTATTTACAGGCAAAAGCTCATCAGGCAGCTCCAAGGGCAACGGTACCTACTAGTACAAAATGCTTGTCGATTCCCCCATTGCCTCTAAAATACCTGAAGAAGAGCAGACTTGGGAGGAAGGTGCTTCTCTTTTGCCCTAAAAATAATAGTGATTGTAGCAATGACACCACAAGCTGGGCATGAAAGACAAAACGTCAGCAGCTGTGTAACCCATTCCAATAACTGTGAAGCTGATTCACTTGGGACAGCAGGAAGCTTGTGAATTCCTTGCAAAAGGGCAATGGCTTCTGGCAGCAGCCTGTATGGAAATGCCAGCGGTAGAGGAAGGGTGGCAGCAACCAGAGCATTGCCTCCTGCCCATCAGCCGGCCCCGCTTGGCTTTCTGCCTCCTCCTCCTTTTGCTGTCTGTCTCTGTACCCTCCGCGCCTTCTCTGCCAGCACTGGGCAGCCTGGGGGCTGCTGCCCTGGCGTTCCAGGGAGGAGGAGGCCCTGCAGGAGGGTCTTGTGGCCCTGTCAGGAGGCGGCAGACTGTCCCTGTGGTTGCCATTGCCTCCCTTCTCCATCCCCAGCACCACACACGGCAGCTCTCCGTCCTTCCTCCGCAGCAGAAAATGAACTGGGTCGGCGGCAGCCGGTGAGTGAAACTCTTCAAAGGCTGTCAGAAATGGCTCTATGCTGAGCCAGTGTACCCTCACAGACCGGGCACGGTCATGGTGTGTGTGAGAGCCCTGGTGTCCCCTCACAGACCAGGCACGGCCATAGTGGGCGGGAGAGCCCAGGTATCCCCTCACAGACCAGGCACTGCCATCATGGGTGCCACAGCCCCAGTGTTCTTTCACAGACCAGGCACGGCCATGGTGGGTGCGACAAACCCAGTGCCTCGTCGCAGACCAGTAGGGCCCCGGTGTTGTGTAACAGCCCCTGTGTCCCCTCAAGAATGGCAGGACCATGGTGTGTGTTTCAGGCCTGGTGTCCCCTCCTGAACCTCACTGCGTGAGGAGATGCAGGTGCCCTCCCACACCAGGCAGGGTGGGTCACGCTGGGGCCTAGTATCTCTCCGCAGACTGGGGCTGGGTGAGGCCCTCCCGCCTGGGCCTCTCCTCACACCCTCATGAATGGCAGCGATTACCACCTGGGGAAAAAGTTGTCTAGTTATTGAGATTCACTGAAATAGTAAAATAATCACCAACTGAGTTGTAACATTAAAAAAAAAGAGGATAATACTCAATTTCTCTAGGTGCTGTGCCATCTGCCTATCTACCAGAAGTTTAAACCCTACAGATTTTGTCAGCCATTTCAAAGTAGCTTTGCTAAACACAGCTTTATAATCATGCTGACTCTATGCAGAATCAAACTAAAATAATGCCTTACCCATCTGGAAGTCTTCCCAGCAAAATGAGGTTTCTGAAAATTCCTTATGTGAAGCAGGGGGAAGGGAAAGCTTCAGTTTGAAAAAAACCAAAACCAACCCCAACTTTGTCCTAAATGCCTGTCTATCATACTATTCTGTCTGTAAGAAAAAGCAACGTGTAGGAGTATTGCACTCCCTTAGCAAATCATCCTGCTGCTTTGTGTGGCTGTTAATTATCTGTCAGGTTCCTCAGGTGAGTCCGAGATGTGCATTTTAGGTGTTAGAATAATGATCCATTACTGAGGCTTCTACCCACTGCAAGGGTAAATGTTACGTGCATATGTTTAGAAACTCTGTTCTAACTTCAAGCACATTAAAAAAGAGAGAGAAAAAAAAGAAAAAAAAGTCATTCCAAGGGGATACTCCATATTTCTAACTCTCAAAATACCCCGTAATCTTACTGACCCAAGGATTGCAGCCATGTTCACCCTGCTCACAGCAGTGACCCAGTGCTCCAAGTCTATGTGCCATGTCCAGTAGGTAATTAATTTAAGGCTATGTTTAACAAGTGAGATATGTAGTTTAAGGTACTGTCTCCTATATTGCACATGAAACACCTCAAACTTGTAGTGACAATCTATTGTTCTTACCTTTTTTACAAAATGATCAAAATATTCTGTAAAGTCCCAAAAGCTAGAAACTTGTACCGTCCTCCTTTGTTTTCTTGCTAATAAGGTTTTGTAACTATGTTGCAGCATGGCAAGAAAATTAGAAGAAATTACTATGTTGACAAAAGTTTCTTATAATTTTAAGTTTTAAGAAATTAAGAATTGATGAAATGTCGCATTACAGGTCAAATGCCTAAAAGCTTTTCCTTCTGACATTCAATGCATCTGGTAGACCTAAGACAGAATGTGGTCCTATCCTTACCTGTGTAAACCAGGATCAGTTGAAGTGGCTTCCACAGAGATATGTTGACTTTGCTACCTGAAGGTTTGATCCAACGTAACGTAACATAACATAACATAACATAACATAACATAACATAACATAACATAATTTGTATCCTAAATTCTCAATACCATTGGTGAGAAATTCAAGCCATGACTCAAGATTATCCTTTTACAATTAATCATTATTTGCATCTTTCAGGAGCAGAATCATATTAAAGCAGGAAAGGAGAAAGCAAAAGGTAAACAGTTCTAGCCATCTTGGATTTTGTATTGTTATATAAATGCTTCAATTGATTCACTTAGGAAAAACTTTCAAAGCATTTGGAGTGAGACTCAAAACTGTGGCATAACACTGTTTGCCTAACTTCCAGGGCAGAAGTCTTGTTCTAGGTTTACCACACTGAATTCCAGCAAGAAGAGGAGAGAGTAGGAAAAGGCATGAATGAATGAATGAATGAATGTGCCCAACTGAAGTTTTACTGAATTACTTCTGTTACTATATTTTGTTGGTATGTGCTGACACATGGGATTGCTTGAAGCCTCACAGCGACAACCATGTGGTCAGCTAGCCTAGCACACATACGCACAGCTATTTTACTGGGCTACATAAAGGAATGTTAGGCTCATTGAAGTACTTTATTCTGGCATTTGCAAAAGTTGGGCAGCTTTATTTATCTTTTGAATCTGAAGTGAAATAATAGAATCAAATTTACCCCTGTCATAGCAGAAGACATTTCAAACAGGAAAGAGAAAGAAAACAGTAAGAGAAAACAGTTATAACCATAGAGAAGTCCGTTTCCTCCTCAGCAGCTGGGAAAAAAGAGTCAGTAGAGGGAAACTCCACCACTGAAACTGCTACTCCGCAATGCCCAGAGCAGATGCAATGACATATGCAGGAGGAGGAAAAACAGGCTGACAATATGGAGACAATCTCTGAAATTAAAATGTTTACCTAAGGGAACCTGGGAGCAACCAGCAGCTTGTTGCCCCCATCACATTCCCAGTCTCCTCGAGACCTGTAAATACTCAAAATATCTATTTCCTCAGGGATTTATTTGTCTGAGCCACATAATTTACATTATAACTATGTAATTTTCTTCAGTGGAGGAGAGAAAACAGGAAAGAACCTGACAGGATTGTTTTTAGTAACTCAGTACTAAATTATTGAACGCAGTGGTAATTTTGTAATTGCTATTATACAATTAATAGTAATTTAGCCATTTAGAGGTGATGGGAAGAAAATATCTGGGACACTGAAGGGACATGGATGCATTTTGGGGGTGTGGACTCCGAAGCAATATGAATTTTGACGTGTTGATTTGTACACAGACTGCTTTTACCTTACTGCCTATATTCTTCTTAACAGAAGAACAAGTATTTTCCATAGTTTGTAACATCCTAGAAAGCTAAAGATTGTGATACAATAAATTACATTGGAAAATAGTTACCAATTAACTAGATACATGTAACTTGCAATCATGAGAGCAATTACATTTCAGAAGAAAAGCCAATGTTATTTTGTCTTTTGGCATAGCCTTCAGTTTTCAATATTCTTCTTGTGGTTAAAATAAAGAAATCTTACTGGTTTTATTTATTCATCTGCTGTGCTTGATGCTAATGATTTTAGGATTATTAATATTCTCCTACAAAATGGAGATTTTTGTTTCCTAAATTTTCCAGAATTATCTGCCTGATATCTTCAAAGTGTCAGTCATATCTCTTTTTGTTCCTTGCGACAAAAAGCCTTTCCCAAGTCCCAGTCTTAGAGATTTTTCTTCTTTACTTTTTTCTCTTTTTTTTAATCGCAAGAGAATTTTCCATGTTGAGAAAGAAAAATTTGGAGAACAATAAAGTCTTTGTGTCATTATAGATGGCCATGTGTATGTAATCTGGCGAATTTATTTGCCTACTAGCTTGTAAACTGCCTAAAAAGCTCAAGTTTAAAAATTTTTAAGACTTTTTCCTTGCAGCATTTTGGTTTGCCTTTTATTTTAAAGAAATATTTTTAATGACCATACACAAAATTTGAGGCATGACTGTTTAAGGACTAAGATTTTGGCATCAAAAGAGCAGTGATTTATTTTCAATATGACCGATACATATACTTGTAGTCATCTTCAAGGCAATAAAATAAACTAAACAGTAGACAGGGTGTAAGAATTCAGAGAGAATTAATAATGTGCTTTTATTATTAGAAATGGTTTGTTAAGAATTATATATGCTGTTGAAACTTCTGTCAAAAACTTATTCTCTCTTTTAAAAAATTTAGGAATTCTTTGAAAAGAAGAAACTTAAATCAAAGATGAAGCTTCTGGAGGTATCATCTCCTAAAAGCTCAGCAGTCAGTTTAGATCTCCTCAATCTGTATGTTGTTAACCAGATATCAACAAAAAAAGACAACACCGGTGAGTTTAGTGTAACAGTGTTCTGACTTCACAGTTAACAGAATCAGTTATCCTTAACTATTACAGCTGTTATTTTAGTTCTTTTTTTTCCATTTGTAACTTAATACTCAAATAAGCGTTGTTTTATTTTTAAAATAAAAACCTGCAAGTAAATACAAAAATTATGATTGAATAAAAAGTCAGGACATAAGAAGAATGAAATAACCTTGGCTACTGGTTACTTCACCTTTAAAACCTTGTACACTTATCGCCTTCCTCATTCCGTCCAATAGTTTTACCCTACATCCATTTCTTCTTCCCTTTGCCATTGAATGGGTTCATTTGTATTCCACTTCCTTTTTAATAATTTTGGGGGGGCATTTGGAATAGTCCATCAGTTCTACCCAGAGTATCTTTCTTAAAATCCGTCATTAAACTCCTAAAAAGCGTCTCTACAACTGAAGTCCTAACTCTTATCCTCTGTGACATATTCATAAACCAGCTTGTGGAGAATTTGTTATCCGATGCCCAGGAAAGGTAGAGGTGACTGAGGAGAGCAACAGAGCCTGTCTACACACAGCAGCTGCCCATAAATAATTTTATACTATAATGCCATTTAGAACTCTCGAATTCAAGAAGAGCTTCTTGAGCTCAAGAATAAATCTCTTGCATTGCTAGTAACAAAGAAAAAACAGCTTTAATTGGATTAAGAAACCTAAGGCAACCACTTTTGTACTCTAATGAAAATTCAGGAAACTGAAGCTCAGCGCTGACATTCCAAACACTTTCGTTGCAGAGAACGTGAGGAAGCCAGTCCACATTAATATCACTGAAGATGTAAAAATACCTATTAGGAGGCACAACATAGAGCTTCCCATGTCACCACTACGTACGCAACACACGCCAAACTTAGATGACATCCAGAACAGGTACTTGTATAAGAAAGGCAGTAGTTAAGCTATAGTGAAGTTCTGGAAAAGGTATTTCATTATAGTCTTATATTTGGGGTATTAAGTAAACATAAACATACCATTCTAAGACAAAGAAGTTTCACAATCACTCCTGGCATTCCAGTGATATGCTTACTGTAAGAGAGTAAATAAATGTATTCTAAATAAAAAACTGTACATGAAGCTGAGACATTTTAAAAAAAAATAATGTTTCTTTACTCATATCAGGTACATACATTAAGTTTATCTCACAGAGCAGGCTATTAAAACAGCATTTTTCACTTACACTGTTCTGCCATCCAACTTCAGACACCCTGAAGTGACTGACACACTGGCTGCTCATAGCTGCTTAAGAATCAGGTCTTTTTAAGATGTGTGGAAAAATATTCTTAAATTATTTTGAAATTAATACTCAGAATGTTTTTAATCTTACAGATCTTATATCTTGTATTTCAAGGTATACCACTTTTATTCTGGTTTTATTCCTTTTACAAGGTTACAAAAGCAAGTATTGGACAGCAGAAGGCAGCATCTCTCGGAGAAAGTAGAATATCAGCATAATGTAAGTAAGTTTATTGTTCTCAACAATGTAAAGCTTAAAATGTGCAACAGTGATTGTATTTTTAAGTGATATTTCAGAGTGACCAAATCCCATGGATACTGAAACATGTGAAGTCTTCCTCTTTAAGGCTATACTGATATGTTATTTGCCAGTCATATTTTATATTTGTTCCTGCTATTTCTTACATATTTCTTGAAAGGCTCATTTTGTTTTAGGCATTTTCCAAATACTTAAGAGTATCTACATGCTAGGCTAGTCACAAAGGATAGAGATTATGGGAAAGAGACTGAGGCCAACAGCAGGTAAATTAAAAACAATACGTAGAAATGTGAAATGATGAAATGTGAGAAGCATAAGCAGAAGTGAGTCTTTAAGAGGAACTTAAGTATGTGGATATAATTGGGAAGTTCATACATTTGTTGAGGTTACAGTGAAAAACACTCTCTAGATAGAATTTAGACTTTTTTTTATGACTCATTCCACTGTTTTTTTTTTTAAATGACCCATTCCACTGGGGTTTAGTAACCTAAACTTAGTTTAGGTTACTCAGACTTGCTTGGTAATACAGCTCCACTGACTCCTGCAGTTCATATCAGATAGGACTCTGAGGAAAAGATGCATGCAAAAGATGCTTGCACAGTATTGTTCTGTATGTTCGTGACCCATTCATGCCAAAGCATGTTTTGCTAGAGTGAGGGAGACAGAGTTTTTCTAGAGTTAAAAGTTCCTTTCTCATGAGTCAGGAAGAATTACTTAGTATGGGTGAAAAGTTTAGCTGTCTAATGTGTTTCAGCCAAGGTCACCATGAGCTGACGCTACTTTTTTTTGATATCACATTAGTTCTTTATGACTTGTTTTCATCTGTTTCTTAAGACAGCAAGGACATATTTCAGATTTAGCATGTCCAGAAATAACGGATCAAAACAATAGCTAACTTTCTCCTCAACTTCCACTTGTTTGGATAGATTTACATCAGTTCATTAAAACACGTGATAACATGCAGTGTGCACGCACAGAAAGCTAATTTATGTATGGATGAAAAAATAAAGCCTAAGGCCTGTATGTTGCAAAGAACTGTCTTTAAAATCTTAACTTGAAGTATATCCAATTTAAGTAATTAAGATATATCCACTTTATTAAGCAGAAAGAGGGGCTATAAAATTTGTAATTTTCATCTTTCTGGAAACGTACAGTTTTGTGGTACAAAGATTTTGTGCAATTAATATACAAGGCTTTTGTACTCCATTAGTAGTTTGTGCTGCTTTCACTGGATAAGATGGATTACAGGCATTACTTCCATGTAGCTGTGGATACAGTGACATTTCATGAGTTTTGCCTTCAGATATCTCCTTGTGTTCCAATCTGCTTGAGATAGCGTTGTTGATCTCACAACATGCTGGAGTTGTCTCCTCAATAGAATAAAATACTTTTCATTTTACTACTTAAGAACCAAGTCAGCAGATCATTTACCTACATGTCTAAAGTTAAAAATGTATTTATACCCATCTCTTCTCAGGATAACATTTGTGTGCGTGCTTCAACTTAAGTAGGTACTTATGTGTTTCCCTGAAAAAATCATATTAGAATACATAAAAATTTTATCTTGCATGTAGTATACGTGCAGAGATGTAAAAGATATAGAAAGGTTTGATTAGTTTGAAATTTATGCTTACATCAGAACAGTTTCAGATAAATAAAATGTCTCTTTGCTATATTTTGTCTAGTTATCACAAGTAACAGAATTAATGTGTGCTGACTCTAGTATGGAACACGAAGACAACATGGCAAGAGCTTTTAGTACCTGTCCATTGTCCTCTTCTGTTTTTTGGTCCTCTAACTGTACACAATTTTCAGAAGAAAATTTCAACACAAACCTAATGGGCAACACTTGGCAACAGACCTATGAAGAGAAGCTGCAAAACCAGGTTTGATTAATATAAATTATATAAATAATTCTGCAGAATTATTTTAAACTAACTTCCATTTATTTGGGGTGTAGAATTAGTGTAATGGTGAAGGTGATTATGAATGATCAACTTCTCTTGTAGGCTGCTGGCAATTAATATTGCATATATGCATATATATGTAATACATTCCATATATTCTATATATACATGTATCCATATTTCCTTTATTGTTATGAAATACGCTTAACCTGAGCTTTTGTTCACTGAGCTCTTGGTATCGCTGATATCTGCAGAGAGTTAGTGACATACCACTGGCTTTCTTTTATTTCTGTCTTGTAAAGTTGGTTAAAGAATGCTGAAATGTATTACAGTTACAAATACAGCTTTCTTAAATGCACAATAACTGGGTATCATATGATCCCAGGTGATCACCATGACCTAATTTGTAATCATGCAGTGTCTCAGTGAGTAACATAGTTCTTACAGTATTCTCAATGCTCCTAAAAGGTTTGAGAAAAGCCTGCTGTTTAATTCAAGTTAAGTTTAAGAAATGATTGAAAGTTACTTGTTCTGATGCATTGTTACTATTTTTTCTTCTTGTTAACTTTGAGGTTCTTAAAAGAATCATCCTTAGAAAAGTAATAGCAAATATAAGGGGGCTCTCATAATATGCTTTATTTTTAGAAAATATACTATTTATTGAAAATAATACACACAGAATTTGTCTGATCACCCATGGTATTTTAAGATCTTGAGGTAAGTGAGGAAGGAGTACTTCAAGGCTTCAGAAGGGGAGGTGTTGGGTTGTTCAGGGAAAGGGTAAGCAGAAACCCGCCGAAAGCTGACCTGAAGGAAAAAGGAGGCCAAGAAAGATATGTTCAAAACACAAGGACGGTCCACCTCAAGGTACAAAAGAATGAGTAGGTCCTGGAGGCCAGTTTGGCTGAATCAGGGAACTCCTGACTGAGCTCAAATGCAACAAGGAAGTGTGGAAAGAGGGATGCCCTGCCCCGGAAGAATACAGAAATGGCCCCTGAGCTTGGAGGGGTGGCATTAGGATGGCCAGAGATGAAACTCACAAGGAGTGAGAAGAGCAACAAGGAGGACTTCTATAGGTATGTCATCAGCAAAAGGAAACCAAGGAAAATGCTGTCCACTGCTAACAGAGCTGATGACCTAGTGGCAAAGGACATGGAAAATCTTCAAGCTTAGTAGAGAGTTTGGGGAAGAGTGGTACAAAACAGTAGTGAAGGAACAAGTTAGGGAATCCTTAGTAACCTGGACATAAAGAAATACATGGTACTGGACAGGGTGCATCCAAGTATCTTGAGGGAGCTGGATGACACCACTGCAGGGCAGATGTCTACCATCTTTGAAAGACTGTGATGATCAGGAAAGCTTCTCAGTGACATGAAATACACAAATGTTATGCCCATCTGCAAAAACATAAGCATGATCTGGGGAAGTATCATCTCACCTCTGTCCCCGAAAGGATTATGGAACTAGAGTTCCCAGAGGCAATTCCAAGGTACATGAAGAACAAGGTCACTGGGAACAGTCAGCATAGATTTACCAAGACCATACTGTGCCTGATGAACCTGATTGCCTTCTGTGATGAAATGACTAGCTCTATGAGTAAGGGAGAGCAGCAGATATTATTTACCTTGACTTTAAGAAGGCTTTTGACAAGCTTTCCCATGGGATCCTAGTAGTGGGGAGGTATGAACCAGATGAGTGGACAATAAGATGGGTAAAAACTGGCTGTTACCATCATGCTCAAAGTAGTTGTCTGTGGGCTAAAGTCTAATTTGCAACAGTCAGTAATGTCAGGGATCCCCAGAGATTAATACCAAGTCTGGTTCATCTTCATTAGAGAGTTGGACAATAGGACAGAACATACCCTCAGCACCTCAGCAGTTTCGTGCATGACACCAAATTGTGAGAATGATCATTACAATAGCAGGGCTGCTACTCAGAGGGATCTTGACAAGCAGGAAGCCACCAGGAACCTCTATAGTTTAACACAGAGAAATACAAAGCCCTGCACCTTGGGAGAAATAACCTCACACATCAGTGCAGGTGGGGACTGATTGAGTAGGCAGAAATTTTGCAGAGAAGGACCTGAGCGTGCTGGTGGACAAGAAGTTGCACGTGAGTCAGCAGTGCACCCTTGTAAGCAGCAAAGGCCAACTATGTAGAGGGCTGCATTAGAAAGAGCATACCCAGCAGTCAAAGGCACGTGATTATTTCCCTGTGAACAACATATGTCGGAACACATCTGAAATACTGTATCCAGTTTTGGGACCCCCAGTACAAGAAAGAGATCAATAAACTGTAGCAAGACCAATGAAGGGCCACAAAACTTGTTAGGGGATTGGAGCACATGATGAATGTGGAGAGACTGAGTGAAGAGGGCTGTCACAGCCTGGGAAAGAGAAGGCTCTGGGGGTGTGGGGTGAAATAAGTGCTGTCTTCAGCAGTCTAAACAGGGTTACAGACAGGACAGAGCCAGAGGTACACAGTGAAATGGCAAGAAGTAAAAGTCACAAGCTTCAACAATGGAAATTCTGTTTGTATAGGAAAAAATATTGTCACAAAAGTAGCTAAGCACTAGACGAGGCCATCCAAACAGGTTGTGGAATCTCAGTCCAGAACAATCCTCAACAATCGGGACTAACCTTGAAGCTGGCCCTGCTTTGAGCAGGTTGGACTAGATACCCCTTGAGGTCCCTTCCAGACAACACATTTCTATGAAGATGTGATCTGCAGTGGAACTTCAGCTTGTTACAGTCTATTAAGCTTGTTTGTACTATGGGAGGATGGGGTGCTAAAAGGACATTTTGCATATTAACAGTGATATGGAAATATGGAAAAGTATGAGTTATAGAGAACTCGGACTGTAAGGAGGTTTTGGCTCTTACTGTAAAGATAAAAAGAAGTAAAAATATTGGGAAAACATGTATATTGTTTTCAAACCCAACCTTAACATTTAAAACACTATAACCATTATAGATATTCAGAGTTTGACAGCTTCTACTGTTTTCTCAGCCAGGAAATAGTTCTGATCAAGACCCTTGGATTACAAAACCTTCAAGCCAGTGTATTTTCAGGAAGTCTGATAGGGTGCCTCAGGAACTGTTTAGGCCATTGCATAGGTAGGCAATGATTTTACGTTAAAGAGAGAAGTAACAGTCAAGTTTAAGTGAGCAAAATATGAATATAATCTAAAATTTATTGCTACTTGATTTTTCACTGATTTTTGGTTCTTTTCAAATAGAAATTGAAATTAAATTGAAAGACTGAACATACCAAGTATTTAAATCTGCTAAAAGGCAGCAAAATGTGAATTTTAGGTAGGCAATTGGAACCTTGATCTGTTTTTTGCACGATGGTGTTAATGAATTCATCCCGAGTGAGAAGCACAGATTTACTAAGAGGCCACAGGGAGGGTAGCTGCCCCAGATTTCATTAGTTCTGGTCACTGTTGCAAGTGCTTTTCTGATGACCTTGGTGGAGTAACTTCTCCACCTACATTGTTTACATTTGGGATTCCAGGAGCAAAGCATTTTTCCTTCTCTTTTATACCTGATCATACTATAGCTTTTTTTTTTTTTTTAGAATCGGTTCAGTAATACTTTTATGAGAATACACACTTTTTAAAAAAAAAGAATGTGTAGAAATCTAGAATATATTTCTTTTTGTATGTGCTGATTTAAAATCTTTTTATTCACAGAGGGTTTAGGGCCAGACTCATTTATACTGAACATTTTAATTCATTTTCTTTCCAGGGACTCTTGCCTTGGATCTAGGGGTCCCACAGGGCCAATCTTCTTTTTTTCTTTTTATTCTGTAAGTCTGCCTTCTGCTTGAAAGTTCCTGTCAGTCTCTAGCTTTGGCTGGATAGAGCCATAAAAAGGCCATATATTTTTTTTGCAATTCCTGAAGTACCTACAGTCTGTTTGCCTGGGGAGTCAAGTGGCTGATAAGCTCACTGACCACATGGTGACTAGATGAACACATCAGCTTCCAGTCTTAGCCACCTTAACTTTCTCTTTCTTTCTTCTCTTAGCTTCTCCCGGCTTTCTCCAGCAAAACCTAAAATGAGGATAGCATTCACCTTGCTGTATATCTTGGTGAATTCCTGATGCATATCTTTACATTAAAGCCCTACCTAATCTTATCTCACCCACATCTCCCCTTTCATTTCTCCGCAGGCCCTCAGGCCTGCACTTGTCTTCTTATGGTGCCTCCCTTAGTCCTCTGCCCTTTCATGGCTTGCTAACAACTTCTCCTTTCCAACAGTTCTTCAAATCCTTTTCTTTGTATCATACCATCCTTGTTTTATTTTCATCCATTATTGTCCATAAATTCTTATACTTCAAGAGCTGGCAATTCTCCTGGGAAGGGAGTTTCTTTTGCTGTGTGTGAAAAGTAGAGTATAAACTCATACAATCGTTTAATGTAATTGTAACATACTGATGATGTAATCAATGTGCATACATCTGAGAGCTGTGGCACTTCAAGATCATTAAACACTAACTAAAAATTGTAGATGTCCTATAAAAGTAGCAGATATCTTTCACTCTGAATAGTGCTTAGCTACTTCCTCATCTACTATTAACTTTTACTTAACATTACAAAATGTTCAGCTGGAGTAAAGAAGGAGCGTCTGAATTGCTTCACAAAATGTTTCTACCTTCCTCATATAGATCTATCCAAGTTTCTCCAGAAACAAACTCTAGCATGTTTAGCCTTTTAAAACTGTTCGGGCTGGGTGTGTGGGTGTGTGTTTGTGTGAGTCCCTGTAAGTAGTGGACACTACTTTCTCACTTAGTTCTCTAGGATCTTTATACAATTCCAAGTATTTGCTGATCAAAACATTACAAATTTTTTTCCAGTAAGAGTTTTCTGTACTACATTTCAGTTTCAAGTTCCATTGATTGCATTGCTTATTTTTTTTTTAAAGAAAGGGCCACCTTTTTGCCAATTCTCTGTGCTTCAGAAACCTCGCAACTTTTTGCTCAGAGTTTCTGAAAGGTCAGTCACTAGATCAAGCCTAGAAAAAAGCAGCAAAAATTTTAGACTAAGAGCCAAGTAAGTGAAAACACAATAGCTTTCATGCTGATGATGCTAGTATGATAGCATCTTCAAAACCCCTATCAAAAGTGGGGTAGGGAAGTGTGGGCAAAACAAAATGACTGGCCTCCTGACAGTGGAATAGAAAATTTCTATGCTGAATTAGGATTACTGACCTCAAGTACAAACAGAAGTCACTTGCTAATGAGACCAGGAATTAAGCAGTACACAGAGCTTGTTAAGGGCTTTCAGTACAGGAGAGAAGTGTAGTCTTAAAGAACAAACTATTTTTATGAAAAGAAGCAGTTGTCTTCCTCTTTTTCTTCTTTTCTTCCCGCCCCCCTCCCCCCCAAAGTGGCCGCCTTTGGTCAGCTGGTGGAGCAGCAGTGACATACTGTGGCTGATTTTATACATCACAGTTCCCTGCTTGGGAGGATGTGCTCCATGTCTTGGTATGTTTGGAGACATCCTAAAACAGAACCTTTTTTAAATCAACTTTACTATAAAGTGGAAATAAAATACAGGATACTTTTTCAGTTGAAATAATGTACATTTGGGACAAAAGCAAGTGTGATAAACAGTGAAGTCTTTGATATTTTTATCACAAAGTTATCATAATTTGTTGTGTTAATAATATTTTGCTTGTTTATATACTGAGCAAACTGGTTTTTCTTTTCTACCCGCCCTCCACCTCACCCCCCACTCCTAGGCCAGACTATATGAATTCTGCCAGGAAAAATCCAGTGATAATGACCAGTAACGAATCAGAAAACAGTGAAGGAATTAAAGAACCATTGTTTGATGTTGTGAAAGAAACTGCAGAACTGAAAGCTCCCCAAGATGGTAGTGATTGTTCCTTTCTGGCACTGTTTGAAGATGAGAAACAACCAATCCATAATAATCCTTCCACAAACCATTTTAATCCTTCTGTTAACCAAAGTAATGCTGCCATTTTTTACATTGATCCTGATGATAGAAATCCCATTTTTTACATTGATCCTGATGATAGAGATCAAATGACCAACAGAAATTTTCCCTGTAATACTAGAAAGGCTTATCCTGCAAGCAGTGCAAAAAAAAGTTCCATAGACAGACACCTCGAAGGCATTTTCACAGCTCCTGAACAGGTTTTACTTAAAAGTAACAGTGCCGCAAGTGCAAACTACAGGAAAACCAGTGGACTTCATAAAATCCACCTGCAGGACTTTCATGAGGGACAGCACTACTTCATACACTCTGAAAGCAAAGAAAAACCTGCAGACCTTGAAAAACTTGGTAAGCGTCAATATTTTAAGTACATATATTCTGGTTTTTATTCTCCTTTTGAAGGCACGTGTTTTTATGGCCAGAGATGTACCTGCCCTGACCAAAAATATGTCATGACTCTTCAGAATGCAGTAATTAAATTTTAAATCAAATTATTTACATTATTTTTAAAAGTTGACAGAAGCATTTTTTTCAAATTGCATTTATGCTATTGCATTTTAAAATCAAGGTTTACTTCTTTATTTTAGAGACATTTGCTTATCACCATGATCAGCCGATTAACTTAAAGGAGAATGTGCAAAACTATTCAAGAAAAAAAAGGTGAGTACCATAGAAATTAGCAATCTATTAACTAGTGATAACTGCAGAAATCTTGCTGAATTGGAGAAATCCTGCCAAGAGGACATGAAGGCAAAATTCTAAGCAGTATTACTGAGGACCCAAGTTTTGTCAGTGAAAATAGTAGTGAATAATGTGAATAAACATAGGCTCATGTAAGCCCTTTGTACCATTGTTAGTCTGCTCATAATAAGCACAAAGAAAGGCTGCCTCATGGGACTATTTTGAGTCCCCGAAGCAAAGCTGTTGCTCTTGACTTGCCCTCTAAAAGACCCTGTCTCTTCCACTGACAACAGAGGAAGTTAGTGTCTTCCCTGGGCTAAAGTTACCATATGTGAGTGCCCCGTGTTTTACGAAAGACGGTTTTATCAATGACTCTGATCTGTAACACCTCCTGTTTTACAATGCAGGACTATCTTTTGTCATCTCTCATCTTACATTTTGCATTTCAATGGAAGTGAAGTTTGTGAAAAACAGATTCTTGGTGTCAAATCTCAGGTTCAGAAATAAGTTCAATGATCTCAATAGTGGGAAGCATTTAATGGGTACTGAAGACAAAATAAACATTGAAGACAAAAAGATCACCAGTAATGACTTTAATGCAGAAAGAAAATAAAAATTACAGCAGGGGAAAACAGTTACCAGAGAACTCTGTGTTTGCATCCCTCAGTAATGATGAGTCTGTGAAAGAGTCAGCCTGGAGACAGAACCAGCTCTTTGGATTTGAAGAGGTAACTTTTTAAAAAGAGAGACATTCTTTTTTGTCAAACTTACTGTTTGCGCCATTTGTTTGAGGTGGACAAGGAATGTCCACAACAGTTAGAAACTGAATTTAGCTTCACTGAATTAACTTAACTTCTGCGGAAGCTTCTTTTCCATCATAGTTTATACAAGGCATCCAGAAAGAATAGCTTCTAGTTAAATGATTCAGATAAATAGCCCTTTCAGGCCCATATTTTATGCGGTTTGATTCACACCTGAGTTGGTGCCTGAGATACATTGTGTACGTAAGTTGCCCATAAACCCTTAGGATCAGATTCTGCAGATGGTGCCCAGATATTATATGTACACTTTGGTATTATAAAGGAGCTTTATGCCAGTATACATATAAAGAATCTTTCAGATACTTTGCCCATAGAAGTAACCCAGGTACCTACAGTATTGCTTAGGGGTTTTGTACCTCTTAAAATAATTTGCAGTACAGTGCAGTGACTCCTTTATGTAATACAGAAACTGAATGTTCCTCACTTAACCTGACGGGATGATGCAGCTGAACCCTTACTATTAACACTTAATTATTTTTAAAAGTTCACAGCACAAGAGAAAGACTGTAAGTTTGGAGCGAGTTCAAATCTTCATGAGATGGAGAAGGGTTAGTACCATTTATACATTATTAATTAAAAATCAGATTTTTCTCTACACGTGAAACTGAAACAGTTACTTTTAAAGCCAGGGAGAAGTGTTTTGATCTTTTTAGGATGTTACATTTGATGAGGGCTTGTATTTTTGATTCACACAGCACTGTATAAAGAAGACTAGCATTACCAGGTAATTAAGAACTATCTGTGTTTGCTTTTCCTTGAAGAGCTAAATTCAGGTTAACTTCTCTCCGGTGAGTATTACACACATATTTTTCATTGTCCCATTTCCTCCAAAGTTGTTCCCTAAACTGAAAAAACAGCTCTGAAAGTAAGGATAACTGCTCAAAAAAAAAAAAAAATCCATGAGAAAGAACAAGAGTATTAATCTGAACATCACAACTCAAGTTTACTAACATCACCATATAGTAAAAGTACCAACTTGGACATGTTTTATTCCTTAATTAATATCTTCATTAGATGTTTGACATGTGCCATTTTATTGGTCCAGTCTTTACAAATCTTTATTCTCTCCACTAGACTATGTGCTGCCATTCCGCACAGAGTGAAGGGATTCAGCAGGGAGATCCCACGTCCATTTTGCTCCCTCAGTAGCTGCAGGGGCCAGCTGGGCTGGCTGTATTTCAGAGCAGAAGATTTCCCAAGGGACTCCAAGAGAAAAACATGTAACTTGTGTGGCAGCCAATGTGTGCAGGGAATTCGCGGCGTTCTCTCCCAGCCCTTGCTCTGCAGAATCCTTCCTCCTTTTGGGCAGCACAGTTCTGCTGCTGGTGGTGCAAGCTGCTGATTAACAGCATAGCTGAAGCTTTGGGACACCCATCTCACACTTTCTGTTAAGATTGTTGTCCTGAGAGGAAAAAAAATGGCTGTTGCCAAGACCTACATGGACCTCACTAACACTTTATTCTTTAAACAGTATCTTAAAACTGCATCAGAAGTAGTAATGCTTAATTTCATATGCTGTACTTGAGAGTTGGATGTTTGGGGAATTTTTGGTGAGGAACCTTTCTTTCCTTTTCGTCTCATTTTTCAGATGTGGAGTCATCACTCAGCAGCCAGTCTCCCAGTTACTCTCCAAGGCAGACAGAGAGCTGTTTCAGCTCTAGTCCTGACACGGTGAGTGCTGCCCCTTTGTGGGTTTCCAGGGGTTCATCTGAATGGTATCTGTATGCCTGAGTGCATCTAAGGGTGGATGTAGCTGGAATCTTATTTACGGTTTTGTTTTGTACAAGGCAACTTCTTGTGAGAAAGGCAAGAAATTGATTGTAATTTTTGATTAATTAATCAAAATTATTAATCAAAATGATAATGAAATGATAATTAAATGATTAATTGTAAATTTTCTGGAGTAGTTTAACAGACATGTGGTCTGGTCTCTTGATAATACCAGGCCTTGTGGAATTACAGTAACATGCCTCTGGGAAGATGCTGAGCAAACAACTTCTGCATTCTCCCTTGATGTATAGCTGCTCCTTGATGTATAGCTGCCTTATATTACATGCCTGTATGGCAGGAGGATTTGACACGCTATGTGTTTTCAGCCATTCTGGAACACAAAAATGCCACAATGTAAGAATATAAATTCTGTATGAGAGTGAAGATCCACCTTACCCACCTTCTCTTTAACAAAGGCCAGGAGTACATCCTGAGAGAAAGAATAAAAAAAACCCTAAACAACCAAAACCAGAGAGTTCTGATCTTTCTGTTTATTTCATTAACTCAGTTATTAGTTAGTCATTAACTTGGTCCTTAGTTATTGAAATATTTAAACAGTTACATTCACACAATTCTGTTCAAACAGTCTGAAGAGGAAGACACAGCCAAAAAGAAGGAATATCTGAATGAACGGTTCTTGAAGATAGATGATGCTAACACAGTCTCAGCCTCAGCAAGCAGAGAGCCTCCCAAGACCTCTCACACCAGAAGTGTGCCTCTCCAGCCCAGCAGTATTTTGACTAGAGAAGAAGCAAACCATCTTCAGGAGAAAGACTCTATTGTACATGCCACAGAGGAGGAAAATAAAGACCACATCACCCCATCTGAGGACAGCTCATTACACCGAGCCCTTAAAAAAGAGCATGTCACGTGCAGTACCAGGTGTGACGCTTGGTCGCAGACAGAGAGCTCTGTTACAGAAGTAAGGAAAGTGGATGTTGCCACCCAGTGTGGCCCCCTGCAGATGTGCAGCTGTGGGAGCTCCCTCCCCTCTGCCCCCAGCCCGGGGGGGGTCCCTCCTCCCAGCACCGCAGGCACCGCTGGAGGGCACAAAATGCCAGCACATGAGGTGCTGCAGCCTGCAGGCGCAGGCAGTGCAGCTGGAATAGTGGCCTTTTCTTCTGAAGCCGAGTATCCGAGTTTGGCTGGCAGAAGGACTCTAGAGGTGCTGAACTACATTGATATAATGAAGGAGAAAGATAAGCAGTGACCAGCTAGAATGGCACGTAGGGAATACAGAAGTTTTGTCCCGTTCTCGGTGTGTTTCATTTCATTGGCATATTTTTATTTTTCTAGCCCGGTTAGACAAAATACTCTTTTTGCTGTTTGTTAGTATAAACTATGGATGTCTCTCTACCTACTGCTGTCTCCAACTATGGATTTCTATAGATCTCCAACCGGCAACATAGGATTTTACAATAGCCTAGTAATACAAACCTTAGGAATTAGATTGGCTTCCCCACCATATACCCATAGGATTCTGTACCTTGGGATTGACTTTGCTTCTCTTGAAGGTAGTGGAAAGATTCTGTTTCACTTGAAAGCATATTTGATGTGGCTTTCAGTTCAGAACTATTGTCTGATTCTTATCCATTTTAACAGGCAAATTAGCCTTTGACATATGTTTGTACTAAATATAAAAATGGGAAAAACCAGAAAATGTACATCTGCACACATTGAATAGAATGTAACTTGAAAAGAATGAATTTATTAATTTATACCAAAAAACTCCCAACCAAATGCTTAATCTTCCTTCCTGGCAGATCTATTGATTCATTCTCTGACTGTTAATACTGACAAATTTTTATGTGTTTCTGTATTTTGCCTGCAGATTGAAACATCTGAAATGCTTTCCTCTTCATTTTGGTATTTGTGTGAAGCTACAAATCACAACAAATAAAAGTTTCTGATAATATTGTTTTTAGGTCATTTTCTTTTCTTCTAGAAAAGTTCCTAGTAAAGGTGGCAGGGAGATGCACTCTGTTACTGACATATTCTACTTATACATACATGTATCTTTATTTATATATACATATCTAAATACCTTATGTGTGTGCGTGTATATATAAAAGTGTGTGTATATATATATGTAAAAAAGAGTGTGTGTGTGTATGCACGTGTTAGCCAGCCAGCTACATACAGGGATCCTGTTCATTACAAACTGGGCTTGGGAAAAAGCTATGCTGGAGACTCTTCCCTAAACAGTGCAGGAAATCTGCTGTTATAAGGTTAATATGTTGTGCTTTCTCCCTTGCAGACAGCTGTTGAAAGATTCACTGCCTTTATTCCCACCAAGTCATTTTCTTTTATTTCTACACTTTGTAATAAAAGGTTTTGCGGATGAAGGGATGTGTGTCACCCAGCCCTGATGAGACCCGTCACCATGCTTTGTCTCCATTTTCATCATCAAACTAGAGGCTGTGTTTTCTGCCAGCTTTTCTTTTTGAAGCTGAGCCATTTTTAGAAGAAGGTGGACCTTGCTCAACAGTTTGCAGGTTTATGGCTATGCCTTTTTAAAAATAGCATCTCAGAAATTTCAGCGGACTTTTCTGTGCTCAGAAGCAAATAGCATTGTCTTTTATATACATAAACTCCATACATGGGAAGTGGTTTGCACAGCCAGACTTCTGAAATATGTAACTATCATTTAGCCAATTCACTACCCACTTGCTAAGGCTTGACATAAGTGGATTTTCTTTTTTAAGTTACCTCAATTTATTGCCAAAGCGAGCTCCCTAGTCATTCTTTTATCTGAAACTGCAATGTTCATCTTCTTCACAGGAGCTATAATTTATTTGAGTAACAGCTGTGAAGTGCTGAAAGCTTAGCCATTACTGGTGGTTTTTAAGGCACAGTTGTTCACTCAGCATTATGAAGCCCGTTCATTATGGTGCCACACCAGCAGCAGCCCGTGCTGGTCTGAACTAGGACACCTCTGAGGCGCATTTCCCAGGAACACGCCGTACCTGGTACGTACCTGTCAGCCTTTCCAGTGGCTTCGCAGCCCTCCCCATGGCCAGCGCTGCTCCAACTGGCTTGGTCTGCCAGCCTCCTGCAACACGCTGTGGGAGAGGCCAGTGAATGGCACGTTACAGCTAAAAGCTCCACCACTGCATGCTTTAGATTTGAGGGTTTTTATTAGTCTGGCAGATGTAAAATCGCCACAGGGGCAGAAGGTTCTGTGGTGGCTGTGCTTAGGGAGATGCTGAAGTGACCCAACCCAAGGTAAACTGCCATTAACTTGCAATGGAAGTTACACTCCTGATTTCTGCGAGACTAGCATTGTTTAAATTTTGTTTTGTTTCACAGTGAAGCGAGCTACCCACGTTCAGGCAGATACTCCTGACCCACAGAGCTAGTTGCTAGACATATTCCCAGTCTGCTCCCATGAACCTACGGGACAAAGAGTGCAGGTCAGAACTGGGAAAAGAGAGCTGGCTGCACCATATGGGCATATGTGCGTAGGGATTTCAAATGAAGCAATACATCTTTATTAACTTAGCTCTCATATCTCTTATCATTTAGAGCCTTTCAGTGGGTATAGCTTATTTTTGCTTCGGCTACTAATACAGAAGCTCTCAAAATGTGCCTGGTTCCAGCCAGGTTTCAGCCTAGATTGCACTGTTTCCCAGCAAGAACTGAAATTACACAGCTCAGTGCCCAACACACATTTTCTGTCTGGCTGTATGTAAGAGCTGCATACATGTCTCTAATGCAATAATTCACCACTTGGGATATGTCAATCACTGTAGATAATCTTGTTCCAAAGCCTTTGGATAAGACTCTATAAAATCCAATTATCTTACCATTTTTACCTGTAATTGTAAAGCAATCAGAAGAAAGAAAACTATCTTTGTAGTGGTATGTGTGCTGGCAATGCTGATAAATAAGGCAATGTCCTCTTTTTAGCCACTAGAAAAGTATTTTAAAGTATTTATGTTACTATTACTGCATTAGAAGAGGATTGTCCTTTCTCCTTATCTCAGCACCAGTATCCCCCTCTGCTCAGGTGCTTTCTTTCACCTAGTTTTTAGGTGACTTACTTTTGGGAAGATCTGAGTTTGGTTTAATAGGAATCTCCTCTCTCTCAGTGGTAGCCTCAAATCGTGCTTTCTCCAGCTGATACTTCAGCAGCTGATGCTATTGAGGCCACCGGTATTTGTAAGCTGCAGTAATGACTGTTGTCCCACCACACGCATCCAGGCACCACCAGCTTCCACCAAGGCAATGGCCTAGGCAGAGGCACTCCTTGTTCATCCATCTTAATCTTCCTGGAAGTGTGCTAAGCCTCTGGGGACACCACAGAAATTCATATGTTTTTAACTGTGTTTGGTGAGAATCAGTTATAAGTCGAGTTTTTCTGGGGAAAAGCACAAAAGGGCACCTGTAACTAACCAAAAACTGGGAGCATTGCTTTAGCGTTGGCACTTGAATGCTTCTAAATATAAATGGAAAGAAAGACTCTCTCACTGAAAATGTTACCTTAAGCTTCAGTCAGATGTTTTAATATGCACCTAGTATCCTTTTTTTGCTATAAAATCAGCTCTAATTCCAATAAACTGCAAGGTAGGGATTAAAAGTTTTCTTGGCAAGCACTGACAGAAGTTTTGTTTCATTAATGGGGCAGTTTGTTGCTGGATGTTATTATGCCAAGAGCCTCCACAAACTTTGTAGAAATTCTTATTTAATTTTCATGAAGGATTATCACTGTGGGAAATGAGAAGCTTGAGTCTTCATATAAGCGATTATTTCTCAGGCAGTGGTGGCCCTGCAGCGATGGCTCAGGGCTTGGCTAACAACGGGCACCAATCGCTCTCCCACTAGGGACCCGAGGGGATGTCCCGATGCCCTCAGTACCTCCCTGGGACTCCCACCCACCAGGACGAAACCTGACTTCTAGCCATCTCATCTGGTACCGGGCTGGAGGTGGCCGTCACCCACCACCCAGCTTACAAAAACTTGCTCTTCATGTTTTCCATCATTTTTAGCAGCTAATGAGAGGAGAGTGGCAGGGACACTAGCCCCAGCCCCAACTTGTCTCCGATACCACACGATGGAGCTGCCTCCTTCTCTGCCCCGCAGCCAGCCTGGGGGCTATGAGTACCCCAAACGCCAAGGAGAGTGTGGGAGAAGCCGTGTAGCATC